AAAAAAGAAGCCAGGCGCAGTGGCTCATGCCTATAATCCCAGCACTTTGGGAGGTCGAGGCAGGTGGATCACCTGAGGTCGGGAGTTCAAGACCAGCCTGACCAACACGGAGAAACCCCGTCTCTATTAAAACTACAAAATTAGCCGGGCGTGGTGGCACATGCCTGTAATCCCAGCTACTCAGGAGGCTGAGGTAGGAGAATGGCTTGAACCCGGGAGACAGAGGTTGCAGTGAGCCGAGATTGTGCTAATGCGCAAATCTCGCCAATGAGCAAAAATCTGTCTAAAAAAGAAAGCAAAAGAAAAGGATGTCGACCAGGTGCAGTGGCTCACGCCTGTAATCCCAGCACTTTCGGAGGCCGAGGCAGGTGGATCACAAGGTCAGGAGATCAAGACCATCCTGGCTAACACGGTGAAACCCCATCTCTACTAAAACTACAAAAAATTAGCCGAGCGTGGTGGTGGGCGCCTGTAGTCCCAGCTACTCTGGAGGCTGAGGCAGGAGAATAGCGTGGACCCGGGAGGTGGAGCTTGTAGTGAGCTGAGATGGCGCCATTGCACTCCAGCCTGGGCGACAGAGCGAGACTCCGTCTCGGGAAAAAAAAAAAAAAAAGGTGTCAACAGAGAGCATTTGGGTAGCCTATGAGGAATAGCTGGTAGGTGCCCACTTTGATCACTCTCTTACACAGACTGAGCCCCAGTGGAAGATGAGCTGGGGAATGTAGGACCATGTGGACAAATGTAGGGAGGAAACAAGGTTGGCAAGGTCCCTGGAACTTCGCCCCAGGAAGGCGACTGGCTGGGTGAGCTGGGGGAAGACGTGTGCAGGGGACCTGTGCAGCTGGGAGGAGTGCTGGGCTGTGGAGGAGAAGGAAGCTACGGACAAGAAACCTCAGGTGGGAGGATTTGGACAAGGGTGAGAAGGACACAGGGGCTATGTGCCTCAACCAGCGGGACCTACGGGCAGAACTGGAGAAGTCTCAAGGGCTGGCCTCTCTCTTGGCATGTGCATTCTGCCTTTCTACTGCTTTCCTCATCTTCACTTCAAGGGCAAGGGTGTGTCTTACTCAACTTCTGTCACCCAGAGTGTCCACTGTGCTAAGGCATACAGCAGGTGCTCAGACCATCTTCGGTTATTTTGGATCGACTGGGTCTGAACAACAGATGTGCCACCTTTGATCCCGTTATTTCTAGAATCATCTTTTCACTCCACATGCTGGTTTAGCTTTTGCACTCCTCAGTCAGGCAGAAGCTATTTCTGGCCCCCTCGCCAGTAAGATGACATATGCTTGCCCTACGTTGGTTGATCATGAAAGGCTGACTCATAATCAGAGGCGGTCTCAAGTTCAGGGTTAGCTAGGCATTTCTCTGGGGCATATGGAAATTAGTTTCTCTACAGGTGAGAGCAGCCACTACCAATCTGCTTCGTGTCCCAACCTGTGTCCTGAAACAGCTGCTACCGGACCTTCTCTGCATACTGTAAGCATGGGTGACACCTGCCTGCAATTGGGTGGGGGCAAAGAGAACGGGAGCTTGCAGTGGGTTCAACATTCATGCAAACATTTAGTTAGCATCTGTAGCGTCTGTGAACACTGCCCTGGGAGTAACAGCACCTACCCTATTTTTAGAGGTCAGCTTCAAGATTAGGGTTGTCATAGCACCTCTTTTTTCTTTGCTGCAGACTAGGAATAAAAGCCATAGCACCTTACACCTCCCCTCCCCTACTTAAGTTGGCATTTATCAAACAGCATTTTATTTAATTATTTATTTATTTATTTATTTATTTTTTCCGAGATGGAGTTTGTTCTTGTTGCCTGGGCTGGAGTGCAGTGATGCCATCTTGACTCATGCAACCTCCACCTCCGGGATTCAAGCGATTCTCCTGACTCAGCTTTCCAAGTAGCTAATTCTGTATTTTTAGTAGAGATGGGGTTTTGCCATGTTGGACAGGCTGGTCTCAAACTCCTGACCTCAAATGATCCACCCACCATGGCCTCCCAAAGTGCTGGGATTACAGGTGTGAGCCACCGTGCCCAGCCTAGGCTAGCATTTATCAAATAGCATTTTAAATGATTTGGGAAGCTGGACCCAGTGACTCCTGTCTGCAATCCCAGCACTGTGGGAGGCCGAGAAAGGAGGATCAATTGAGTCCAGGAGTTCAAGACTACCAACCTGGGCAACAAAGGGAGACCCTGTCTCTACAAAAAAAAAAAAAAAAAAAAGGGCAGCCAGCCATGGTGGCCCTCACCTGTGGAGGCTGAGGCAGAAGGATCACTTAAGCAAGGCCCTGTACCAAAAAATAAGTAAAAGTAAAAAATAAATGGTTATTTTTGTTGTTGTTTGGTCTGAATGTTCTACTAAACTGGAAGCTCAGCTAGTCATGGTGGCTCATGCCTGTAATCCCAACACTTCGGGAGGATCCCTTGAGACCAGGAGTTTGAGACCAGCCTGGACAACATAGTGAGATCCCATCTCCACATGAATAAATAAACTGGGCCGGGTGCGGTGGCTCACGCCTGTAATCCCAGCACTTTGGGAGGCTGAGGCAGGTGGATCATGAGGTCAGGAGTTCAAGATCAGCCTAACCAACATGGTGAAACCCCATCTCTAGTAAAAATACAAAAAAATTAGCCGGGTGTGATGGCAGGCGACTATAGTCTCAGCTACTCGGGAGGCTGAGACACAGAATTGCTTGAACCCGGGAGGTAGAGGTTGTAGTGAGTCGAGATCACACCACTACACTCCAGCCTGGGCAACAGAGTGAGACTCTATCTCAGAAAAAAAAAAAAAAGACAGGCGTGGTGGCTCACGCCTGTAATCTCAGCACTTTGGGAGGCCAAGGCGGGCAGATCACGAGGTCAGGAGTTCGAGACCAGCCTGACCAACATGGTAAAACCC